GTGCTAAGTTATCAAGTCTTATTAAATCTTTAAAACTTGTTAGATTGAAATAAAAGTATTCTAACTTTATGAACTTTGCAAATAATTGTGTGCCAGCTATGGCATAACATCAAAATAATTAATAAATTGCATATTTATTTCATTATTTAAAATTTTTGATGCAAAAATTTTTGGAACATAAAGCTATGAAGCATTATTTGAAATATTAGTATTGTTTTTAAGTATGAGAAATTTAAAAATTATATGAAAAACTTTGTTATGACAGCTTTGTACAGTAAAAGTTGTAGTCATTTTTGAAAAAGCTTACATTTTGTATTCCACTTAAATAGCCGTTACCAATTGCTATACCTTTCAAATTCCAATCAATCGTTTTATTCTAAAAAAATCAAATTTTTAGAATAAAAAATATAAATGAACAATTTAAAAAGAATTGAAAAATTAAATAATTTCTAATTTAGTATTTACGTATGCAAGTAAAAATTAGTTTCACATGCAGTTACGATAACTCATTTTTATTTGAATCGTATGCAAAAGTAAATAAAATCGTATGCGTTAATTTTGAATAGTAAATTAGAAAAATATCATATTACTTGAAATACGGTATAGAAATCAACAAACAAAAATTAACGTTTAAATTATTTCACCTTTATTAAGTCAACAAGCAGTGAAGCTAACGTAGGAACGTAAATACCACCATAAGATTCACCCGTAATGTATAAATCGTTGTTTTTATGCTCGGGGAATACGGTATAGAAATCTTTTATTGCAAGGTAAGCATCGTATTTTGTCTACAATTCTCAACTTTCATATTTGTTTTAATTTTAATAATAAACAATTTATGAAGACTTTATCAAAAAAGTTTTGAAGCTTTCAAGAAAAATAACTAAAAATTATGATTTGATAACGCAAGTTTAGTTGACTTTAAGCAGTATAACAAATGAAACATTTTCGTTTATTCTATGTTTTTTTACTTTACTTAAAAGTAAAAATTCGCAAATTTCTGAAAAAATTTTTACAAACTTTAAATAATGAAAATAAATGCTTACTCACCATATCATCGTTCCATTCTTCACTGGGATTAACTTCTTTATCTTGATATGAAAAGCCAACAGATCGGGGGGATTCGAGGAACAGAACGTTGCTAAACTGTAATTGAAAAAAATATCTAACCGTAATAAAACTTCTACAGCCAAAAATAGCTCTTTTTTATAATAAGGTTCTTAAGGTTTTTGAATGAAATTTGATAGTACTTAAGAATTTAGACAGATCACCTACTTTTTTTAGCTGATAATAGCTTATTTATTCTTTTACAGCATATTCAAACATTATAAAATATTTTTCAACACTAAACTTACTTTGTTCCATGAGAAAACATTTTCAAATAATGTAGTACCATCTGGATTAGGTCTAAAAGGTCCATTTTCAATAAGAAGTGCTCCAATTGAACTACATCCTGGCCCACCAGTAAACCAAATAATTAATGGATCAGTTGCTGGATTGCTCTGAGACTCGACAAACCTGCAAGTGTTCTTATTAAGCAAATACAACTTATACTTTAATAAACTTAAGATTTTTGAAAAAAAAGGGATTCTCGTTAAAATTCAATTGCTACCCTTTTTTTATTGGATAAAAACTGCAACTAAACTCAATTTTGCTTAAAAATGAATAATTCAAATTGCTTTAAAGTACGAAAAATGCATTTACAATTCGGAACTATGTCAGTTTTAACTTTATGCATCACAAATGTATTTATGGAGTTATACTTACCAGTAATGAATATAATTTCCGTCTGATGCGTACAGATAGCCAGCGTAATGATCAAAATTTATGTCATAAGTTAATCCAGGAAGGTCATAAACTTTGTCTGCTTCTTTTCGTGTTACTATAAATTAAAACTACGATAAACTTAACACATATATATACTCAAATTTAATACTTGAAAATTAGCACTATAACAAAATACTTTAGCTGATTTTATTTTTTGTCATACTATTTTTCTAGTATTAAATGAACTATTTATTTTGATGACTATAATATATACCATACCCCTTAGTGGTGGTGGAGGAGTATATGGTGGCAAAATAGGTTGTGGTGCTTGTACTGGAACAGTATTATTGATATTGCTGCCACCAAGAAAATTAGAAATTAATTGTAGCATTGGTGCTGGTCGATCTAATGCAATATAGTAACCTGCACCCTAGAAATCATTAGAAAGCAAATAATTGTCTTAGCTTAACTAATTCCCAAAAATATTTTCAGTAATAATGAAAGCAAAGGACAAAAGGATAAGTTTGACGTGGAATGAATATTATATTTTTGTTTAAATTTTGCAAGTCAAAAACAAAATATACGTGAAATTGTCAGCATTACATAATTTGATATTAGTGTAGGATATTCAGTAAAGGTTAATACTGCATTTTTGGCATCTTTTATAACACTGTAACTATCAAAATAGTTTATTGATAGTTTTTTATCACAATGACAAGAAATGATATCTCTCGCCTTAAAAATGAATGTGAACTTTGACACCTTTTTGCTTCATATACTTCTAATAATAAATTCATAATTAACAATTAATGGAAAGAACCTAAACTCTATTAATTTGGAACCATAGATCATCAACTCTATACCTTAACTGTAACTAAACTAATTTTCGTTATCGGTGATAAAGGATCATTCATTTTAGAAGTAAAAGTTTTAGCGAATCCCGCATATTGTTTGAGATACGTTTTCGATAATCGGTACGTCCAAGGAGAATGCGAATGTTCAACGTCTAAATTATACATTGTCGCAAAATCTTCGATAAACCATTGATCTAAAAAATAATTTTAATTTTGCTAAAATAATTTTTGCTTGAAATAACGAGTTTTGTAAAAGATACTTTATAATTACTTACTTGCCAAAAAATTATTATACAAATGGCTGTCTCCATCAACAACCATTACTTTGATTGCCCTGTGCTTTCTTTCTAAAATATTCTTCAAGTGCTGTTCCATATTAAAATATTTTCGAGAATAATCAATGTCAGAACTGCAATTACTTTCTTATAAAGTATGCAAAAATTACAAATAACTTTGAAATAATTATAGAATATTATTATTATTAAACCTGCAAATTATATTTGTGATTAATTTCAGTTTAAATATTTAATAGTAAAAGTTAATATGTTTTCCCGCTTAATTTGAATACATAATTTGGAAAACAGACTTGCACTTGCGCCACTCTCCAGATACATGTAATGCTCGTTGGACTCCTGGCAAATTAAAGTAAACTGCTGAGGAATAATCCATGTAACAAGGAAAAGATGCAAATGCATCAGTGGACAAATAATTTGTTCTATTCTAAAAAGTTTTAGAGCAAATTAAACTTTAATAGATTGATTATCATTAAGTGTATTAATAATTAAAATGTCATTAATTGTATTAATAATTAGAATATAAATAACTCGTTTGTTATTTATAAAAGATTTATAATATTTAATAATAATTTAAACTAGCAAAACTATAAATTCTTAAATAATAAAAAGTCAATTCAATTTTTTTAATACGATTGCAGTTAATAGTTATCAAATTGGTGCATTTTTTGCACTATATCTCATTATTTCAAATTTTAATTCCTTTAAATAATTTTTAAAAAACATAATTACAAAACTGCGTTAGTTAAGATTAGCTAACATTTTTGTGAAGAAAAAACTTACAGGTTGATTCACAAATGGATATTCATCGGTCAAAGGTAAATCTCCACGATGATATGCTTGACGTTTTACTCGACTCTTACTTTTTAATGGTTTTGATTTCAAGGAAATAAATTCCTTGTAACAACTTCTGTACATATTTCCTGAAGGATTTCTGAAAAAAAAAAACATTAAAATACAATAGCGAAATTATCGTTATAAAATAAAATTTATGCATACATTTTTTAAAATGAGATAAAATATAAAATTTATGCATACATTTTTTAAAATGGGCAATGGTAATAATTGACATATTTTTTATCCTATTGTAACTTTTATTACTTGCAATAAAAATTGAAATTTTCGAATTTAGAAAATAATAGAAAATGCAAAAATAGTAATTAAATCTTTAATAAATTTAACAAAATAATAATAATATATTTAGCAAAAAAAAAAAGTTGCATAGATATTTAGCATTTTATTAATATTCATAACTCAACTTGCCTTCTGTGCAGCATTCCATCATATGCATATTTTACAACAAGACGAGAACAGTATGAAGAATCTCTTGGCTTTACGGTACCCTTATCATCAACTACCACATACTGTGACATATTACATTGGTTCAAAAAAGTACCATTTGGTGCTGTACAACACGGTATCAAATTTTCCCATTCACTTAAATAAATGAAACAATTTTGCTATGAATTCCAGTTCAACTGAGTTTATGCAAATTCTCATCTATTTCTTAAAACTATTAATTATGATAATATCTAATACAATGCTAATAATAAGTATTTATATGTTAAGACAAACTCCTTGCCAAGTAAGCCACTAAAATACATTTCACCAACAACTGTATTAATAATTTGTTCATAATTCAACAATCCATTCACAAGTCCAATGCCATCAAGTTCAATTTCCTATAAATATTAATTTGTATGTAACAATTTTTTTATGTTTATTTCATTTTTATCACAGCCAAAAGATTTTCCACAATAAAAAAAAAATGATTGCAAATTATTTTCAAATCATAGCACATAATGTTAAATATCAAATTTTTGCGAAAGACTGAAATTTAAATTAGCTTAATGCTAACATTTTTAGCAAGCAGTTTATCCGCCAGCATTAAAGCATGAATGCTTCCGTAGCCTTTACCGAATATAAATAAACTTTGAGATTTTAATACTGGATAACGTTCAAAAAATACTTTGAGAGCGATTAATAAGCTTTCAAGTACCTAAAAGTTAATATAATTACTTTAAACATTAAAAAAATAATAATAGTCTCAAGTATAGAGTCCTTTAATGATATAAAAAATAAAGCTAATAAAATTATTTCTGATATAAAATTGATGCAATCACTTTTATTGATGCAAAGCAAAGAGATTTTAGAGTGTTTCAGAATCTGACAAGATTTAAGTTTATTTTTGTTTCAGAAAAATACAGTGTATAGTTCATATATAAAAATAATTTTAGTCCACGGGACAGGGAATTAAATTCTTCCGTTAATTTATGTAAATATCATTTAAAATACTTAAAATAGAAACAACAAACTGAATAAAATACTTTCAATAATTCATAACTAAAAGCACTCCCTCTAATTGTTCTCAATGATGGCTTCTAAATTATGCATAAAATCCAAATTTTCTTGAGATCAATTATAAGTTATGTCTTAGCAAACCTAAGTCTTTATATTTTTCTTTGTATTGAGAAAATCACTACAAAACGTCAAATAAAATCACTGATAAATTGTTTAATTGAATTAGCTTATATAAAATTTATACCTTACAAAGTTCAGCAATTACTTAATATACACAAATTTGCTAAAATTATTACAAAAATGTACCTTATCATCATCATACTTTTCTTCTAATTTTGAAGAAAATCCAGCTCCAGGCATAGCTTCCAAAAATAGTACACTCGCAGCATAAAAATTTTTTAGTCTTTTTTACTTTATTGCATAGTGAATCTCAAATATTCAAAACACCAAAAACTGCTTATTACTGAAGTTCATATTTAAAATGATAAATGGTCTAATTTATTAATCTAGATCCCTTTAATTAACCACAAACAAATATTAAATCTTATTTTCTTCTTTAATTTCTTTGAAAAATTTTTCAAAATTAATTAATATTATATTTTTACCTGAGTCCAACTGTATGGATCTTCGTGAAGCAAATCAGCATTATAATCAACGCGGAATGGTCCAATGTTAGTTAATGCTTCATAAATTGAACTGCAACCTGGACCATCACCAAGCCATAACAATAATGGTTTTTCTGTGTAATTTTCATGCTGCGTCAACCTTAATTAATCATCTACCAATTATGAGAGTACCACAACTAACTGATGGAAATTTTCTATCATATAATTACTCACGCTATTATCAATAATAGAACTTTTTAAATTCATCTTATTAATATATTAAAATTATTTTAATAACAAAACCTTGCCTGTTTAAATAAAACCTATATTGTATATTTATGCATTTTATACATTTTTTCTGAATTTTCTACTAACTAATAAAAGTTAATATCTATGATAATAGCACTGATATCAAGTAGGAATAATTTGCCTGCAAAAAACAACTGAAACTCAATTTAGTTTTAAAGTATAAATAAATAGTAGCTTTGACTAGCAGAATAGCTGCTAATTACTCAAAATTATAAAGGAAAGAAATAATTTTTTGCCAAAAATTACAGATAGTGCAAAAATTTTTGTCCACCGATGTCAAGATAACCAGAAAATAATTTGAATGTTGCGTTGAATACTTGTCCAGGCAATGACGCAACGTAATCTGTTATGTTTGAAGCTTGAAAATTACTTTCTTGCGTTTTGATACTTTCTTCAGTAACATTCAATTCCATAGCTCCGATCTAAAACTTTTACTTAATAGACACGTTCTTCAAGTTATCTTTTGATCAAAAAAAGTTACAAATGAAGTATTGATTAATACAAATCGATTTAATATTCATCAGTTTTAAAGTTAATTAATTGTATGTAATCTAATTTAAAAGCTGAATAAATTTTAAATTTTTGAACTATAACTATCTCGAGCTAACCAATTACTTAATTTAATTTGATTTTTTTACAAGTTTTTACAAACATTTCTTCAATTTAATCTCAAACAAATTAAGTATAAGTTTAAATAGTAAATATTTGAATTTTTATGAAAAGTTTCAAGAAATTAGATTTGAAGAAACTAACTTTTTCTTTAATTTTGTATTGCTTTTTTATTGGTGTAAGAACAGTTGGAATCGGTAAAGGTGTTGAATATGGATATTTGTTAATGAATGCATTTAACATTTGCAGTGATGGCCCAGGCCTGTCAAGGGGAACAAAATGTCCTGATCCCTGTAAATAGCTAAAAAATTGAAACCTTTCCCTCGCACTGTCTTCAACCCAGAAGTTCCATGCATGTCAATTTGTAAACGATCAGCATCAGCACAATACAAAATTTTGTTAATCTGAACAACGTGATATACGTGTTTACGAACACGTTTTTTCATCATATATTATACGAGTAGCTTAGATTAATTACCTTTGATAAAAGATATTTTTGTTCATTGGAGATCAAATCCATACACAAAAGAATTTTTTCTGCTCAAAATCAAGCATACATATT